ACCCGAGCTCTTGGCTGTCCTCTCTGGATGGAGCCATTCACACCAGGGTCCAGCTTGTGCCCTGGCTGCTTTTCCCTGCCCCACTCACCGGTTCTGAGGATGTCCTGGCAGTAACTATGAGGTTAATGAAGATGGTCAAATACAGGATTAATAGCGTAAAGGGGAAGGAAGTGTTAATAGAAATGGAGGTACTTTCTTGCAAAAAATGCCCCTCAGGAATGTTAAAGAATGTGGAAATAGAACTTGGAAATGTTTTTTTATAATTATACATAAATCTCCTCTAATCACCCTACTTTGCAAAGGGAAGAAATAGAAATAAAATCAGGAAGTGGTGAAATGTTGAGATATTAATTATGACTTCTTGATCAGTAACCTCAGGTGGTAATTAGCCTGTACTTTTACAATACTGACCTGAAACACTGAACAGACCAAAATAGCATCAAACTATATTTTGAAAAAAATTGCTCAAGCATCTGAGATCACACGCATAATAAAATGTACTTACTTTGCCTAAGGGAAAATGTGTCCTCTATCTGTACCTATTTCTGGAAAATCTTGCGTTTCCATGCCTAAGTGAGAAGTACAATTGGAAAAAAAAGATTTTCAATACTGTCTCACTGATTGTTAATTAAAACTTCTTAAAACAGTGCTATGAACACTGCAGCTTTGCAGGGGAGGACCTAGGGTGAGGTCTTTGCTTATGACAGTTCACCAGGGCCACGGCCAGTGCCCTGGTCCAGGTTCTGCTGATGCCACGGCTGGGTGAAGTAGCAGCAATGAAAAGGTGCTGAGTCCAGATCCTCCTGCAAATGTAAGTTCAGAGTTATTTGCAGATTAAACATGACTTTAAATGATAGCCTTCTCCAGCTTCTGCTGAGAATACCAGTGGACTGTCATAGGCAGACACGTGACCCTAGGTTCCCTGCTGCAATGCTGTGGTGTTGGTGGCACAATGAGGCAGATCATGTAGGTGCCATGGCATGCGGAGGGGGCAAGGCAGGCAGGGAGAGGATAAAGTGTGTGTGAATGAAGGGGGCACCAAGATTTCAGCCCCTGGCTGCTTGGCTGTTAAGTTGAGGATCAAATCCTCTGCTGTGCTTGAAGGGAGCGTGCCTTTCTACTCCTTTCCTCCTTGCCCCCTCTGATCTACTGCACAGATGTCACCACCTCTGCCAGTTCCTATGAAATATTAGTAACAGCTCCCTTGCAGGCAGATACTGGAGTTTTTTGCTGTGAGCAGAGAGGAGTGCTGAGAGTTAAATCCCCCATCCCCTCGCAGGGACATCAGCGGTGTCCTGGAGGGGGAAACTCTGGCTGGGCAAGGAAAGCAGTGTGGGGGGGGTGTGGCTCACACAGAGGAGGAGATTTGAACACCCCTGTGAAGGCAGGGTGTTCAGGAGGGAGGGCAAATGGATGCACAAAATGGAAATAGCTGTTGCCCCTTAAATGCGTTGACTGCCTTCCCACCTTGTATTTTTAGCATCTGCAGCCTTAACGCTTCCCAGGGTGACCCTCTCCTCTCCGTAGGCTGGGAAAGTGTTTCATACCTGGTGGTGTTTCTGCCGATGAAACTACAGGGGGAGCTCAGCTACATAAAGCTGAACTAAGATAGTGGTCCAGGGTGCTCCTCTCCCAGGACCCATTTGCAGAATGTTTCAAATAGAAGCAAACATGTAGTTAAAATGGTCTCTAAAGCCAACTGCATTGCTTCACGTGGAGCCAAAACTGACTGCTTCACATGCTTGGACTTCCTGGCATGGCATCTCTTTCAGAGGGTCTGGGAGGATTCCTGAAAATCGGGAGCATTTAATGTAAAGGTGCTCTAGTACCCCAAACCACCAGTTTCTTTATTTCAGTGTTTTCCCCAAGAGGGAGCCAAGTGGCTGTTCATCGCGTAGGAGCTCTTTTGCAAGCTGCTCTGAGAATGTGCATTTTTTTACTGGAGTGTTTCTGGCGTGGCTACAGCACTTCTCCTGCTGGACTGATGTGCACTTGTTGGTCATCAAACTCCATCTTGCCCCTTTTTGCAAGAAACTTGGTGTTTTTTGAATATCTAGTATTAATTTCAGGATGCTGACCTGGTAGTTGTCCCACATGTGTAATGGCTGCCAGAAAGAAGGGTCTGATTTTCTAGGTTTTGTGCATGTAAAATATACTTTATATCTTAATGTTTCCCTGTTGCTTTGTTGGATATTGGCTTTTGCAAATCAGATCTTCCTGACTGAAAGTTCAGTAGGCTGGACAGGAGGAGACGCTCATGTCTTGTACTTAACCTGCTGTGCATGGTTGCTGTAGCAGGATACGTTTCACCTTGGGGCAGGATTGAGTTGCCCAAGTGTGGGCATCAACGTGCAACCTGAGACCCCTTTGAGTTTCTGGGACATCCATAGGAAGATCTAAGACCACCCATGTCCCTGTGCAGTGGCAGCTGGGGCTTGAGCGAGACACTTTGCAATTCCTATAGCAATATGAGGTGCCCACCCTAGGGATAGATTAGAAAGCACCTGCTGAAGCTGCTGAAAGCTTTGCAGCATCAGGTGAAGACCAGGGGAGAGCGATGGTTGGGTGGATGCCATGTTTCCGCATGTCTGGTGCTGTGCAGACGATGGATAAAACTGCTCAGGCAGTGGGCTCGGCATGAGCATCCATATGGGCAAGTCTGGGCTTTGATGGTGTTGCTGTAGGGTTTGTGGCTATTTACCTCTCACATCTTTAATGCAGTACCCGAGAGTTAGTTAAGTTAGAGAGGAGCCCTACTGGTTTATCCGTTTCCTAACCTCTCTGTCATGACAAAATTTGCTAATTATTCTAAGCCCTTTTCCTATAACACATTAAATCAAGCCTGGAATAGCAACTTCACAGCCCCTTGCCAATGCACTCAAGTACTAGATAATACCGACAATGTGTATCCTGCTATTTGACGCAAACAGTCCCTTCTGCACCCTACGCTGCTCCTCTTGTGGTTTTTCTGAATCGGTATTTACTCTGTCCTGTTTATCCCAGTGCTTTGTTATCAGCAGAGAGTGAACGTGCCCCTCCTCCCCGCGGACTGGACGTGCTCAATGCCTTTCCGCTGGGTCTCATTTCCCAGTTTGAGCCTTTCCCAGTTTCCTCCTTGCCCTTAACTCCCTCTGCCCTGATTGAACATGGCATGTTCGTCTGGGACTTCGATGCAATGCAGCTGCACATTTTGCACATTTTATTGTGCTTTTCTGACACAACGAACCGTTTCAGTGCAGTCCTGTGTGGACTCTACTTTGCTTGTCGTGGTGATCGAGGTCCAACTCTACTTGAGCTATGTTCTTGTTTCATCCCTGGCTCTGAGATCTCCCACCGATGGAGCAGGGTTATGCATGCAGTGGGTGCACTCCTTGCCTGGTGCAGCCCCTTGCAACCCCCCTGGAATTAAGAGCTCTGAGGACCTGCTTGACTGAGGGCTTTCTACACCTTGGCTTGTGGTGGGGATGACATGCAATGTGCTCTGCTGATGGGTCAGCATCACTCATCCTGCTTTGTGTATTCTAGCATTTTTAATATGATTCATCCCTCATTTTCTTTTACTGAGTCTTACTTTGTGGTCCTTTGTCCATCTCATCTACTTCTCCAGGTTGAACCATCTAATGGCAAGAATTCATCCTCCTTCCTAAGGTTTGATCTGTGGGTTAACAGATTGCCATCCCTTATGTGGGTTTAGGACATGGTGCCTTGAAATAACGGCTTGCAAACTGTGGCAACCATACAAGGAAGGTTGATTTTTCTGGTCATGCAGAGCAGTGCCTGTGTCTTTTGCTGTGCTGTTGCTGCATGGTTGAAGAACATAAGCCAAAGTGGCAAGAAAAAATAAAAGGCAACACATTACTGCTTTTTCACACTTTTCGAAGTGTGCAAAAACATATTGTGCTTTTATGGGATGCCACAAAGGTTCACAGCAAAAGCCACACGTGGCACACTCCGCCACTTGCAAAGAGCTTGTTGAGGGGTCATGGTGCTTGGGTGTTCTTGGTAGCTGGGGACCAGACCTGCTGGATCTCCCTCTGTCTCTGTGCATCACTGTGCACCTCTTTGCAGCTTTCCTGGGCTCAATTA